TGCTTCCGGTGCGGAGAGAAGGGTCACCAGGCGGCCGCCTGTACCAAGCCGGAGCCCCTGCGATGCGAGAAATGCCTGGGCTACGGACACGACAAGAGCAAGTGCTCGTCCGAGCAGGCGGTGCTCGCGGTGGAGCTGCCGGTCTTGGACGCCACCGCACTGGACGTGGCAGAGGAGGCGCTAATGGTCCGTGACTTCACAGGCGAGTGGAACAGAGTCGTTGATCGAGGGGGTGTAGAGCAGGCCAGGCAGGAAAGGTTTGTGGCCGATACCGGCGCAACCAACCACATGTTCCCGAGCGCTAACGCGTTCGAAAACTACCATGAGTGCGATCGACGTTTGAGTGTCGCCGCAGGGAAGCAAGCCTTCGCCATAGTAGGCTACGGCGACGTGAGGGTGACCATCGGTTCTCGCGTTGGGACCACAGACCTGCTGTTGAAACGGGTCGCTCATGTGCCGGAGCTGAATTACAACCTCGTGTCCCTCACAGCCCTTTTGAAGCAAACCAAGGGCCGCTTAGCCGCAGACGAGCGTGAGTTGGAGGTGTTCGTTGGTGGGGGGGAGTCGGTGTACTTCCCTCTATGGGGGGACCTGTTCGTTCAGACTGGTCACCGCATAGACTCGGGTAGGGAACTAGCCTGTGCCATAATTGCTCCTGGTAACGCGAAAGCGAACCGCACCCCCGTTGACATCAACGACTTCCACTGCGCGCACGGCCACTCCCACGAGGTGCTGCTGAAGAACACGGCGAAGCAGCAAGGGGTGACGCTGGTGGGTCAGCTCCGGGAGTGCATGGGGTGCTCGACGGCAAAGGGGCTATCCAAGCCCATCCCCAACAGGACGTCAACCCGAGCAGTTAAGAAACTGCAGAGAGTGTTCGTGGATTTGAGTGGTAAGGCAAGGGTGCAGAGCTTGGGGGGGAAGTGGTACACTCTCATTGTAAGGGATGACTGCTCGAGGTGGAACCGCGTCTACTTCTTGAAAAACAAGTCAGACGCTGCAGAGGCATTCGAGAGATACCTAGCGGAAAACAGGGCAGACGGAGCCCCATCCGAGGTCATGGTCGTGCGGTCTGACAACGGAGGAGAGTTTTTCGAGGGAGAGTTCGGAAAGCTGTGCCGCAAGTATTGCATCAAGCAGGAGTTCACCCCCGCATACAGCCCAGAATACAACGGTGTAGCTGAGAGAGCACTGGGACTGATAAAGGATGCAGCACTAGCCGCCCGCATACAAGCGCCGATTCTTTACCCCGAAGCACCAAGCTACCCCTCCCTTTGGGCCGAAGCCACAGCTTGGGCATGCAACGCCCTGAACTGCACCTCCACCACATCCAACCCGGACAAGAAATCGCCGTACGAAATGTGGCACGGGCACCCACCTCCCCCAGAGGCGACGTACCCGTTCCTCAAACCCGCCGTATACAAGGTCAAGCGCACGCACAAGTCAGAGCCGAAAGCAAAAAAGTGTTTTTTACCTCGGCCCTGGAATCAACACAAACCGTGATTGCGTGCGCATCCTGAACGAAAAACGCCAAGCGATCACCACTCGCAACTTCACCTGGCAATCTGTGCCCGCCGCCCCGACCGCGCACCCCCAGCCGCTGCCTCCCATTGCAGAGGAGGACGAGGAGCTCACGACTGGGGAGCACGAGGGCGGAGGGGGTGCGTCATGCCACGGTGGAGGGAGGGCGGAGGGAGAACCTGAGGATGGAGGTTTCCACCTTGACACGACGGCAAACCCGGGGCCCGCGGAGCCGCCCGCGCGCGATGCGCCGGCGGCGCCGCCGGCCGCGCCCCAGGAGTCGGGCGCGGGCGTGACGCTGGCGAAGGCGCCCCCTCGAGCAGGGAGGGCGCGAGCGTCGCCCCATCTACCACGTCGACCGGGATGGCCGATGTGGGCGGCGGCGAGGACGACCGCCGCAGCAGCAGCAGCAGCAGCAGCAGCAGCAGCAGCAGCGGTGGCGGCAGCGACAGCGGCAGCGACACGGATATTCCGGCGCTCCACGGGCCCGAGGAACGGAGGCTCGCTCGCTTTGGCGAGCCGGCCGAACTCACTAGCCGCCGACTTAGGGAGAACCCTCGCCGGAACACGAGGTACGAGTCGTCAACGAGTGCCGAAGGTCTGCTCGCCCGCCATGCATCGGCGGCCGGGCTGCCCACCCTGCCCATCACCAGCACGGAGGAGTACACCCACTGGATGCTCGCGTGTGTGGTCGACGTGGTGGAAGGGCTAGAGGCGAGGGCGGTGCAAGCGCTGCTGTGCGAGCGCGCGGAGGAGGCCAACATCGCGCGCAAAGAGGCAGAGGACTTCCTGCTGGGAGCGGAGGACCTCGTGCTCAACTCTCCAGACGCCTTCGTGAGGGCCCTGGCGTCGACCGAGCTGAGTACAGAATCCCCCATAGGCCGAAGCGAGATGACGAAAGTGGAGGGGAGTGGCCGGTGAGGGAGGCCATCGGCAGCATGATGTGGGTGTCGACGTTCTCGCGCCCGGACATCTCGTTCGCTGTGCGTGCGGTAGCGCGCCACGCCCACGCCCCTGCCGAGAGGCACTGGAAGGCGATACGGAAGATCCTCGCCTACCTCAAAGAGACGAGGGACCTCGGGATCACCTACAAACGGGGATCGGGGCTGGGGCTGGCGGTGTACGTGGACGCTAGCTACGCCGACGCTGAGGATAGACGTTCGGTGTCAGGGCTGGCAACAACGGTTGGAGGAACCGTCATCAGCCACGGTGACGGTAGCAAGACGCAAGCTATCATATCTTTGTCGTCTACGGAGGCAGAGTACATTGCTGCCGGAGAGGGTGTGAAAGAAGCTTTGTTTGTGCGTGCAGTGCTTTCGTTTATTGCCCCAGAGACCAGCGGCGGTAGCATTCAGGTCCTTGAGGACAATCAGGGGGCCATGGCTTTGGTGCAGAACCCCCTTAGCTCAGCGCGTAGCAAGCACATCGACGTGCGGTACCACTTCATTCGTGGATTGTTTAGGTCGGGTGACATCTCGATCAAGTTTGTGTCGACGTCGGAGCAACATGCAGACATGCTCACCAAGGCTCTTAGCAAGAGCAACCTGCAGTACCACCGGAAAAAGCTGATGAATTTGCCGGAGCTTCTGTAGGATTTTCTAGCGCTTGGGGAAGGTCATGTATACCATGCGGGGAAAGATGCATTACTGTCGCGGGCTGTGTCCCAATGGCAGGAGTAGGAGGCTTGCCTCGCATTCTTGTCTTCGCCTTGGCCTTCCTGATAAGTGCGGCCGTTGTGATCCGCCGTGATAGCAATGGTTTGTGTTGGATGGGATTTATTTTCGAGGGGTTTTGCCCGGGCGCCGGGTTTCCCCTCGACCACCGTATTGGCATTTTATTGATGTATCCGGGGTGTTTTTGCCCCACTGATGGTTAGTCACTTGCGTGGAGAACCAGGGAGGGTGTTCGTGGGTCTACGGACATGGTTTGGATATGTTAGCCGTACGTACAAGTGTGACGCAGATGGTGTAGAACCTTTTAGGTAGGGGTACGGTGATGATGCACCGGGGCCCCCTTTTGTTGTGTGCAGCAGCCCTGCTGCCACTCCTCCTTTCTGAGCACGACAGCGCCCTGGGTACGGGCGTTGCCTCACCGTCTGAAGTTAATACACTACACAAACAATACCCGATAAGTACGCGGAGTACGGCCGACAAACAGAGGTCTGTCTCTTGGTCGATATCAGGAGGGGGGGGGTATGCCCGTCCAAAAAAATCCGTCGGGCCAACTTTCGGAGCCATAACAGTAAATGTCGAGTTTCTTCAAGTTTCTTAGGTGAAAAATTCTCTACGGCATATAGGCTGCTTCAGGCGGCGATCGTGAATGGAAGAACAGCCTACTGTACCATCAAGGCCGCGTGAGTCTAGAGTCTTCAAAGGGAATGCTCGTTTTCAAGCACACAGACAGGCCGAGAGAACGTTTTTGTAGTTGCCTTAAGGTTGCCCCGGTTGAACGAGAAACATGCAAATCAGGACCGAATATTTCTGGGGCGACCTCGGCACGTTTCCAGTCGGCCAGTGAGCCAAGCCAGCGAGCACTTTGTTCACGTACTTGCAGAGACAGAGGGTACCAGAGAAAGAAGCACGAGAGCACACACCACTGTGCACGTGTACGCCGCTTCTGCATGCATGTAGACTAGACCTACGTGCTAGATTATGTTCAGCAATAGTGCGTTTCACACTCGACTGCCTGTCTGCCATGAATTCCAGGGCATGCCCACCCGTTTCTGAAAGCAGAATGATGGACACAAGAGGCAAAAATCAACCACCGCCGCAAGGGACGAAACAAATCGGCAGTAGTTGTGTAGCAGCAGCCGAGGGGGGCCAGGAGGCAGCACACCTTCTCAAACAGGTGTTGTTGTTGCTTTGCCCCCTTTCGATCCAATCCTTGCCGTACTCCTGCCTTGTTAGCCGGTCAGCGTGACGTGATGGGCGGGGGCCGGTGGTGGAGCCAATCCGGCCAACACTGCTCTGTGATGCCGTCAAATTGATCCTCTCGCAGAATTCTAAGAAAATAAGAATGTGACGACAACAACAAGAAGCTGCCGACAGAAAGGTACAATGTACTCTTGAGATCTTAGGGCGCGCAAAGAAATCGCTAGGAAAATTCAGCGAGGAGTAAGAGAGAGAGCGAGAGAGGACTTGCCGAAAACGCGGCGCTGAAACCGTCTGGTCGTGAGCTTTCCGAAACTCATCATGATGTGTACTACTGTACAATATGCATCTTCTTCGTCGTGGACCAATCGGTCTTTTGCTTTTTCCCACAGGGGGTGTGCGCGTTCTCGCGTCACAATAAATGTATCTACAGTACAGCAGTAGTGGGCATTCATCATCTACAATCTCCACGTCGAGGACGCTTGCTTTCGTCTCAGGTTCACATTGATTGGCGTCGTCGACTAAGAGATGTCCACTTCCTCCCTCTGTTCACGAGAACTCTCTTCGTTTCATTGGAAATGTGCATGTAGCATGTTGTGCATAGTATGTGCCAAATGAAAATGGTCCTTTCCCACCGAACACGAATGATGTTGTCGCATTCAGGTGACAGACAGGGCACCGCCGTGTCAAGTCAAGCATCTACATGCGCGGAATGCACGGCGATGGGCAAATCTCCTGCTGACAAAGCCGCTGGCCATGAAGATACTCGCATTACGGACCTGATGGCCCATTCCTACCGGGGAACATACTTCCAGCGGACACCCAAAACAGGGTTGAACCCCGTCATATCCTAAGGGAATTGCCGCGTTATCCCTCCTACATCAATCACAACAATCACATTAACACAGCAGCAGAGTTAATTGTAATATTGTTGCAAACCTGGCGGGGGTAAAACTAAAACTTCTGCTCCTCTACTCCTTAACTTGCTGCTGCTGCTTCAATGGTATAGAAAAGGCGAAGGTTCTCGTAACTTGTTTCTTTGTTGGCCGAAGAGCGAAGAACGAAACGCCGGAGCGGAGAAGAAACCCGACCGTCGTGACGCTCCAGAGAAAACGTTACGGTTATCCCTCTTCGTTGGCCGTTCAAAATTGGAAAGCATCCGCCGCGTTGTAAGCGTACGGGTTGGCATAGCCATCCACCTGCTGGACCTCGCGCTGCCGCACCGTGACGACCGTGGTGCCGTCGAAATTGAACCTCGCGGGAGTTAGCGCGCTGCTCCGAGCAGCATGGGCGACGGTCTCCATCTCTATCTGCGCGCAACGAATCTCGGCCCGTGCCCTCATCGCTTCCATGGCGGTTTCGTGCTGATGCTGCTGCTGCTCGGCCGCCTGGGCTGGTGTGGGCTCCGAATCCACGGCTTCCTGACCCTGAGCCCGCACAGCTTCTTCGGCGTTGTCCTGGTGCTGCTGCAACGCCGCTTCGATGAGCTTGGGTTCCAAGTCCAGAGTTTCTTGACGCTCAGCCCTCGTTTTGGCCTGCCAGGCCGCTTCCGACACGTATACCCGTGACACGGGCCCCAGCATGTTGTATGGCATGTCAGAGACATCAGGGGCACCGCCGTCACCGGTATTGCTGTTTGTGGCGTTGGATCCCATATTTTCTGTTGCTGCGGTGGCGGCCGGCGTACCTGCAAGTTCCGAGGGTAACACGGGTAGTGCCCGGGGTGGGGTGGGGTGGGGTGGGGTACTCATAGTCGTGCAATGCCGTAGTCGTTAGACCATTGACCTCGCATCCCTACAAAGCCGGGACGGAGCACGCCGGGTTTCTCACCGGTCCAGGCTCTCACATCACTAAGCGCGAAGCGCCGTGACGTATCCGGCGAGTCGCATGAAGGGTGCGCTGCATCCTGCTAAGGGTGTTCGGCATCTTGTGCTTACTTCCTTGCGTACGGATGACAGCTGCGTATGACTTAACTTATTTTCTGGTGGTCACTTCCAGAGACAGTTGTAAGCACTGTGTAACTGCCTCGGGGATGCTTGACCATTGTAACACAACGTGGTGCGATCATCCCCCTTGCGCGGAGTGCGGGTTCTCGAGCCCGCACAACATGATCTACTCGACCACCATTCATGGTTACCGCAAAACAAAACAAAAAAACGCCAAAAAAACGGCAACCTGGTTGCCGAGTTCACGAAGTGAATTGGCTAGTTTTACAACGTCGTTGCCAAGCGACGAAAACCCAACCCCGATGGTAAACACCAGCGGGAGGGGGCGCGATGGGGGGGGGGGCGGGCGTACTCGTTTGCAAGCCGTAGCGGGTAGACCATTGACCACGAGTCCTCGAGAGGACAGAGCATTTCTCCCACAGGACCGATCACCGATGGCCGAGCGTTCCTTCCTACTTCGCCAAAAGTGAATCAAAAACGTTGCCTTGACCTATATATCAGATCGAGGTATCACTTTCCGCCTGCCCCTA